TGGGTTCAAATCCCAGCTCAGCCACTTTTGAACTGTCTGCCCTTTGGGGAATGATGTAACTTCTCTGGGTTTCAACGTCCTGATCCGTAATTTGGAAAGCCTCCTGACAACCAGGGTTGTTGGGCAAATTCTCTACGAAACAGTTGAGCCATGCCTGTGGCACTAAGCAAGTGTTCAGTATACGTCACTGTTACTATTGTTATTGCAGGTAGGTGTTGTTGAGTGAATAAATGAGCAAATATGCATGATATTGTGATGACTGATCAGGAGGTCTTCCTTAAAATGTAAGGGTCTTGCAGGTACACTCCACTCCTTCTTCCTTTCTTGTCTCTCTAGCTGCATGCAGAAAGAAGTGGCCCTTTGCCTTCCATTTACAGAGAGGAGGTGCACAATTAAGTTAGACACTTGAAGCGTTCCCTCACACCCTGGCTGTTCCACTTTGGGTTTTGTTTGTTTTTGAGACAAGGCCTTGCTCTATTGCCCAGGCTGGAGTGCAGTGGCACAATCATGGATCACTGTATGCCCAAGAGCCTTGAACCCAGGAGCCTTGACCTCCTGGGTTCAAGTGATCCTCCCAGCTCAGCCCCTTGACTAGCTGGGACTACAGGTGTGCACCACCAGCAAAACCAGCTAATTTTTGTACTTTTTTTTTTGTAGAGACAGGGTCTCCCTATCTTACCCAGGCCAGTCTCAAACTTGGGCTCAAGCAATCCTCCTGCCTTGGCCTCCCAAAGTGTTGGGACAAGCATGAACCACTACGCCTGGCAGCTGCTCCACTTTTGCTCTGAAATGAGACTGGTTTGTACCACAACTGCCCGCCATGGCCTGGCAGACAGACTCTGTCTTTTAGAGAATAATGTTGCATTTGCCAATTCCACACCATCACTTAAATCCACCAGGTAATGGGTCTAGAACCAAACAGTTTCTAAAAACAGACCATCGATTGTTACTGATCGCTCCCTACAGGCCATCCCTGAGTCTTTCTAAGGCTTTGTGTGATCCTTGGAACCCTTGAGCTTAGCCAGCCCCACCTCTCAGAGTCTTTGTACACTCAGTTATACCAAAGTGGCAGCTGATGATTGCCCTGTTAGGGACATATGAGAGGCAAAAGGAAAGATGGAGACAAGGTGAGGTTGAACTAGCCTTTCATTTGCTTATCACTTGTCTGGAAGTCCCACTGTCTCTGCGAATGGATCGAGTTTCTTTTCTCTCTTTTCAGTGGGTACATTTGCACATCCTTTATTGTTCCTTGAAATAGTGACTATAATTTGACTCAGTCATTCCTCCTGTTTCTGAGAGTTCTTTCGGTTTCAAGTTGGCTTCCTTTCTAGGCCTCTCTGGTCCTTCTAACTTTAGGTGGAAATACGTGCATGCTTTGAGGACCTGTTTCAATCCCACTTGTTGTTTGTGTGAAACATTTAGTGCATGTTACTGTGTGCCAGGCAACCTGCTAGGGGCTTGAGAAGCATATCTGTATCTATTTGTTAGGATTCTTCTAGTTGCAGGTGACAGAAAGGCAGCTCCAATGGACTCAAGCAAAATGTAAAAAAAAAAAAAAGAAAAGGCTTGGGTTGGGTAAGGTTTCCAGCAAGGCTGGATTAAATATATCATCAGGACTTAGTCTCCTACATCTCTAAGCTCTGTTCTGCTTTGTCTTGGCTTCTCAGCGGAGTATACCAACATGGCTGGAAAGATGGCTCCGTCACATCCAGGCTTCCTTCCTGGGGAAAAGCAAATCTCTTTTCCAATAGGCCCAGCAAAAATCCCAGGGCTGATTTTCATTGGCCCAGCCCTGAGCCAATCACATAGCTGCATCTGGACCACATGTCAAGGGCTGGAGCTGAGATGGGATTGAGAGTGGGAAAGAAGTGGTTTCCCAAAGCAAAACTGAAGTCTTCTTACCAATAGCAGGGAGAATAAATGTAAACCAGCAGAAATAACCCATGGCCATCATAAAATTTATAACCCACCTGAGGGAGATTGGCATTCAACGAATTAAAAATTAAATGGAAGAAGAATTACACTACGTGTAATATGTCTGTTGGAAGGAGAGAAACAAGGGGTTCTGATAGAGACTCATGGGGCAAAGTCAAAGAGGGCTTCTCAGTGTATGTGACCCTTTCTGGGAACCTGAACTTGATGTCGGTCCTGCTGAGCTGCAAGAGTGATCCTTCTTCTATGAGGTCCCCATTCCACCTCTCCTGCACTGTTTGGTGTGCTCTCTCTCGTATTCCATTTTCTTAACTTGTTTCATCTCCAAATAAAACAGAATGCTCTCAAAGTCTAGGACTGTGCCTTACTCACTTCTGCGTTCTAAAACAGGGTGAGTGGGCTGCCTGTTTTGTAAATAAAGTTTTAATGGAACACACCAAGCCTATTAATTCACCTGTCATGTAAAGCTGCTTTTGGATGTATGGCCACCATAAAGCCTAAAATGCATTTATTACATAACCCTTTATAGACAAAGTTTGCGGATCTGTGTTCTGAAGTTGCATCAGGGCCTGGGGCAGAGGAGGGGCCTATAAGGTGTTTGTGGGTGGGAGGGAAGATGCAAGCTAGCTGTGTGACCTTGAGTGAATCACTTAATTTCTCTGGGCCTCTGGCTTCATCTTGCAGTGCCAGCCAGCCCCTTCTC